TGTGTAAATTTTGTTGTAAAGAGAGGGAAAAAAGAAAAAAGAAAAAGAGCTCTAACGGATATAACAGCAAGTGTGTTTAGGGGTGTTAAATAGCTGACTATATCAATGTTTTTGGATCATTGAACACAGCTGTTTGCAGTCTCCCTGTTTGAATGTCCACCTTGTATTCTTTGATACTGTGATTTGAGGAACTATTTTCAGTATGATAATATGTAATCTACTAGCAGGTGATTTCTTACTGTTATGTTTTTTTTTTGTTTGTTTGTTTTGTTTTTTTTTTGTTTTGTTTTGTTTTTTTGTAGTTCTGTATTACGTGTACCCTTACACCGCTATGGTTTGTTTTGTGTTTTTCTCTTTTTCCTCTTAAATTAAAAAAAAAAAAAAAAAAAGAAAGAAATCTTTCTTTTCATGAATGCTAAGTACAAGTCCATTTCTTCTGAGATTCTGTCCTCACCTAAGCTCACTCTGCTGTGAATACTTTCAAATGACCTAGTTGAATATTGTATGGCTCCATTTCTTTCCTGTTTCTGGCATTTGTGGCTTCCATCATTTTAAACTCCTCTCTGTATTTTTTTTAACCCATATCTGTTCTAAAGTCACTCAGCATGGTTTTCATTGTGGTCATCATATTTGTATTACTGGAGCAATTATTTTTGATTTGATTTTTAACACAGCTTTGTTCATTTGCTTTGTGTTTACCACTAGAGAGGCCAGTGTAGTGAGTGACTGATTGTGTCAACTTGAGACATTTAAAAGCTTAACTAAATGGGTTTAGCAACTCTACACCCAAGGATGTAGAAGTAGACCCACCCTAGGGTAGCTCATCATCTAGAGGTATAAAAGGGAAAGAGAAAGGACAAATGTATTCCATTCTTGGGAGAAGCTCTAGTGTTCACCTTTGGTTTGGACATCTTCTCCTGGCTTCCAATGTAAACTCTTCAGCTTTCCGGCATAGACTGTTCAGCCTTTCATCATAGAGCCTTCAGCCTTCTGTCACAGACCCATCAGCCTGCTGCTGTGGGCTTGCACAAGACACTAGGGTGAACTCCAGACTTTGGATTGAATCCTTCAGTCTCCAGTGTGTAGATACCACCTCCCATGCAGGGAATCCCAACTCAGGGTGAAGGCTCTGCTGGCTATCTCCTTCTTCTTTGTCAGATTTTCTCTTTGCTCTCCAAGTGAGCTTCAACTCTATCCCCTTTAATGTCCTCCCTCACTACTAAGCAACCAGCTGCTTTAGAGGAATGGTTTTGTTTGATGAGTTTGTGAGTTTAAAGGTGATATTCTGAGCAAGCATTTAGAGGATAACAATATTTGAGATAATACGTACTGCAGATTTCCAAAAAAAGAAGAAATACTGATAAAAATAAAACTCTAGTATTAAAAATAAAATAACAATAATAATAAATTGAAAGAGTAATAAGATCCAAAGTTATAACAGATACTGTGATAATGAAAGGGAAAGAAAGTACTCTAAAGGATATAACTATATGTATGTTTAAATGTACAAGATAGACAACCATACTACTAAGTTTTTGTTAGTTCATCAAACAGAATGCTTTGTACTATCATTGTTTGACTGTCCACTTTTTATGCTTTGATTTTGTGACTTGAGCAACTACTTCTAAGATAACAATATGTAATTTATCAACTAGTGACTTCTTACTAGTTTTTTTTTGAAATTTTGTACTATTTCTACCCTTTTTTCTGCTTTGCTTTTTTTTCTAAATAAATAAATTTAGTAAATAGAAAATGACAGGATCAAGAAGTAAATCTCAACCCCAAATGTGCAGCCCACCCAGGAAAATTCCAGAACATAATGAAACAGAGGAAATCAGAAGACATCCATTAGAGCTTTCTAAAATGACAGCAGCAAAAGTGAGAAAACAAATGGAAGACACTAGAATAAAAATAATATCTAGGGGCTGGGGATTTAGCTCAGCGGCATAAGCACCTGCCTTGCAAGTGTGTGGTCGTGAGTTCGACCCCTGGTACCAATAAAAAAAGAAAAAGACAAAAAAAAGAAAAAAGAAAAAAAAAGGTATAATAAAATACTTCCATGACTCTAAGGTATAAAACAAAATGACAATCAAATGAAAAAGATTAATTACAGCAGACAGATATTAAAGAAAAAAGTAGATAAGCTTAGCAAAAGATAAGAACCATGAATGTTCAACAAAGAAAACAAATGGAATCAACTAAAATTCAAATGGAAATCCAGAAGATTAAAAACTCTATTGACAGTATTCACAACATAATGAATGAAGGCAAGGATACAATATTATATTTATAAGAGATTGCAATCAGAGGCATGACAAGAAAAACAAATCACCTGTAAAGGAAAACGCATCCCAATGACATCAGATATTTTAACACAAATCCTCAAAGGAGAGCTTGGAGTGAGATATTTAAAGTCTTAAATGAAAACAACCCTCAACCCAGATTCATATGTCCCAGAAAACTATTTTTTCAAAATCAATGAAGAAATAAGATACTTCTATAACAAAGAACAACTGAAGAAATTTATGAGCACCAAGCCAGCTCTGCACAATGCTCTGAAGGATATATTAGAAAGAGAAAAATAAAACCACAAGCACAGAAACACCAATAGAAACAAACCACCAGAAATGGCAAGCAACTAGCAAGAGGAGATACAATAAGGAGCTAACAAAAGGAAAACAACATGAAAAAGATCAACCATCAATCTCAAAGGTCTCAATTCAACAATCAAAAGAAACAGCTTAGCAGAATGGATCAAGAAACAAGATCCAACAACATGCTATATTAAAGAAATACATTTAACCAAAAATTAAATTCACAGAATAAAACTCAAAGGATGGAAAACACTACTCCATGCCATAGGAACTCAGAAAAAGGCACAGGTGGCAATTCCATTTGCAGACAATGTAAACCTTATGCCAAAACTAATCAAAAGAGACAAAAAAGGTTATTATATACTTGTTAAGGGAAAACTGAGATAAAAATCATAAATATATATATGAACCAAATGCTGGTGTACCAAACTACATAAAACATATTAACAGACATGAAAAAGTAAATAATCACTAACACTATTGTCATACTCAGGGTTTGCAAGGAAAACAATTCAATGTAGGACACATAATTCATAGTATTGTTTTATAATAGACCCCAAGAGAGTCAAATACAAAGAAAATGCAGGAAATCTGTCTACACACACAAAAAAAAACCTAGACAATCCAGCTGAAGGTCTGGATCCCATGACAATATCCTGCATGAGTCTAGCTAAAGTCCTAAAGCCCATGATAATGCCCACCACAAATTTCACGGAGGCCTAGAGCACACAATGTCTCATACAGTCTGTTTCATGTATGTGTGCTGGGAAGATCCAACTGTCCGCAATGGAAGATAGAATGTCTATGTCTAGAATGGAAGACAGAAGATAGGATGAAGGATATGTGCCAGTAGATTGAGGGAGCTACACTGGAGCCAGGAAGTGATGCTCAAAGTCAGGACCAGAGCTCCTCTGAAAAGTACTGCAGACATCCTCAGCGAAAACAAGGTCCTAAGCTTCTCTAGTTATGAGAAGAGCCAAGTTCATATCAGGAAGCTAGCTTGACAAGCTTCTGGAAATTGAATAGCACACCACCTTCCCTTCCAGAGCCAGGAAGTGATGCTCAAAGTCAGGACCAAAGTTCCCCTCACAAGTACCAAAGCCATCTTCAGCAACAGGGAGATCCCGAGCTCCTCTGATGTTGAGTATAGTCAAGATCATATCAGGAAAGCCAGCAGAACAAGCTCCTCCAGGAGGACAAACAACACTAGGAGAACCAACCACACCTACTTCTTCTTCTTCAGTTCTTATTTTTATGTTGTTAGCAACAATCCTCATGTGTGTCCTCCCCACTCAGCATCATGCTGATTCAGTTAAGCTGATGTTCAAGTTGACCATCAGTTTTCAATGCACCAATATTGTCATGGGAGACCTTAATACTTCCCTCTCACAAATAAATCAACTAGACAAAAATTCAACAAGAAATATCAGAATAAAATCAAAGGGACTTGATAGATGTCTAGTGTTCCATCCCAAAACATCAAATAAACATTCTTCTCAGCTGCACATAAGATGTTTTCCAAAACAGACTACATATTAACCAATAAAGCATGCTTACGTATGTGCTGAGGAACTGAAATCATTCCACGTATATTACTTGATCACAGCACGGTAAAACTGAAAATCAACAGTAAAAGAAATCACAATTACAGAAACACAAGGTATTTACACAACAACATTCTGACAATGAATCAAAGAATAAATTAAAGACAAAACTAAACAGAATGTGCAATTAAACAATAAGGCCAAAACAATGTTCTAAGACTTATGGTATACAATCAATAAAAGCAGTCCTATAAGGGAAAATGATAGTGATCAACTCTCACATTGGGAAAACAGAATGAGCTCAAACAACCTAATGTAGAACTTCAAACTTCTAGAAAAGAAAGAAAAAGTCCAACTCAAAGCTTGTACAAAGAAGAAAATTATACAGGTAAGAGTAGAAAATAATGCAAATGAGATAAGCTAAACAATAAAAAGTAGCAATGAATTAAAGAGTCAGTTCTTTAAAAGAATAAATAAAATTGATAAAACAGCCAGCTTCATCAAAAAGAAAAAAACCCTCTCAAAGCAAGCATTTAGGAAAGCAAAAGGGAAAATCACAATAGATCATACAGAAGTCCAGAAGATCATCAATACCTACTTTGAGAAACTGTATCCTAATAAGATATAAAACACAGACAAAATGCACAAATTCCTAGATGCACTCAAATTCCAAAAAATGAAATCAAGAAAATATAAAAATTTTAAATAACCTGATATTGATCAACAAAATTCACTCCAAACTTACAAAGAAAAGCCCAGGTCTTGATCAATACACTGTTGAATTTCACAAGAAATTGAGAGAAGAATTAATGCCACTAATGCTGAAACTCTTTAAGGAAACTGAAAGGAACACGATACTTACAAAATCACTCCTGGAAGCAAGTATTACCTTGATTCCAAAACCAGAGAAGAATCCAACTGAAAAAGAAAACAACATGCCAGTCTCCTTAATGAACATACATGCAAAAATCCTCAAACTGATACTAGCAAATACAATGTATGAAATCATCAAGATACACACCATGACCAAATAGGATTCATTCCAGGGACACAAAGATGGTTCAATATACACAAATCAATAAAAGTGACACAACACACCACCAGAACCAAAGTAAAAACTACATTATCACTATTAGTAGATGCAGAAAAGTCATTTATTAAGGTCCAATATCCATTCATAATTTTTTTTAAAAAATGACAAATTTCGAATAGATAGTCTTTATCTCAACATGATAAAAGCCAAGTATGACAAACCTACAATCAATATCACACTGAATGGTCAAAAACTGAAACTCTGGGGCTGGGTATTTAGCTCAGTGGCATAAGCACCTGCCTTGCAAGCAGGCAGTCGTGAGTTCGATCCCTGGTACCAATAAAAAGGAAAAAGACAAAAAAAAAAAAAAAAAAAACCAAAAACTGAAACTCTTCACTCCAAACTCAGGAATAAGACATGGATGTCCACTTACACTATTCCTATTCAAGGCAGTTCTGGAAACATAACCCAGAGCAGTACAAAAGAGAAAGAAATTAAAGGAATAAAAATAGCAAAGGAAAAGTTAAATTATCATTATGTGGGGATGACATGATACTCTATATAGAAGACTTCAAAAACTCCACCAAAGGACTTTTAGATTTAATAACCAAATTCAGTAGTGTAATTGGATACAGATTCAACACTCAAAAACCAACAGCATTCCTATACTTAGGTAACAAACTCACAGCAAGAGAAACTGGGGAGCTACACACTTTACAATAGTATGTTTAAAAAAAGGGGGGGGGAGATATTTACCAAGCATTCTAACAAAGTAAAACTTCTATACACTGAAAATTACAGTACTCTAAAAAAGGAGATCAAAGAGTTGTTACATAGATTTACATATTGTCACATATGTTACATATGGTTATATAGATTTAATATAATCCCAATGAAAATAACACTAGCATACCTCAAAAAACTACAGAAAGAAAAAAAAAAAAAACTACAGAAAGCATTCCCAAAATTCCCTTGGAAACGGGAGATGCCTAGAATAGCAAAAACAAATCTGGGCAACAAAGACAAATCAGAGGGCATCACAATCTTAGAACTGAAATTATACTACACAGGCTGGGGCTTTAGCTCAGCGGTGTAAGCGCCTGCTTGGCAAGCACAAGGTTGTGAGTTCAATCCCTGGTACCACAAAAAAAAAAAAAAAAAAAAAAGAAGAAAGAAAGAAAAAAATTATACTATACAAAGCTACTGTGATAAAACCAGCATGGCCTAGGGGAAAAAAAAGATCTAAAGATCCGTGGAACAGAATAGAAGATGCAGAAACAACTCTAAACACACTCAGTCACCTTATCTTTGACAAAGAAGCCAAACATTCACTGGAAGAAAGAACCTTTTCAATAAATGATGCTGCAAAAACTGGCTTTCAATATGCCAAAGACTAGAACTAGACTTACATCATGAATTAAAGTAAAAAAAAGGATCAAAGATGTATATATTAACGAAGTAATAGTAAATCTATAGGAAGAAAAAGTAGGTAGAAATCTTGAACACATAGGGGTAGCCAGAGTTCATAAACAGAACCCAGACCACATGAGAAATATTTCAAAGAATCAACAACTGGGATCTTATTTTACTAAAAAGCTTTTGCACATCAAAATAAGTCATAGAGTAAAAAGACAATCCATAGAGTGGGAAAAACTTTTAGCCAGTTCTCTCTCTTGCAAAGGACTTATATCTACAACATATAAATTGAAAAACATCAGGCCTCCCAAATTCAAAGACCCAGTACAAAAATGGGCTTTTCAGATGAATATACACTTATCAGATGAAAAAACACAAATGGTAAATAAATATATGAAAAAATGTTCAACATCACTGGTCATCTGAGATAATTAAAACAACACTGAGATTTCACCTCACTCCAGAAAGGATGGCTATCATCAAGAAATTCAGTAACAATTGCTGGAGACAGTATGTGAAAAAAGGAAATCTCCACTGTTGATGGGAGTACAGACTATGCAACTACTGTGGAAATCCATGTGAAAGTTCCTCAAAACTAGGTTTAGAGGTCCCATTAAACCCAGCTATTTCTCTCCTGGATATCTCCCCAGAAGAATTAAAAACGTCATATGACAGTGATACATGTACATCCATGTGTACAGCAGTTATATCCAATGGGATGGGCAGCTATTTCAAAGATAACAAGATATATTATGATAGCCATTTTGGATTTAGTATTATCTTGTTTTGACTGCATACACTGTTTTGTTTTTATTGGTTCTATTCTGTTCTGATTTGATTTTTATTATGTATGAAGGTTTTTGTAGTTATTTTGAAGACAAAAAGAGGCATTATGGTAACCATTGTTGATTTCCTGTTGTTTTGAAGTCCTGTGTCACTTACACTGATGTGTTTTGATTGGCTTTATTGTTCTATTTTGCTTGGTTTTATTCTCTTTTAAAAAAGATGACCACAATTCCAAGAACAACAGAATGAAAACACCAAGCAGAGTAAGTACTTACACAAAGAGTAAAAGTAGAGAACCAAGAACAGAGTCAATACATTTGTGTTACAACTCTCAATGTAAATAATCTCAATTAACCAATCAAAAGAAACAGACTGGAGAAGACCCTGGGAAGCCAAGCAAGCACCTCCCCTCCCTGGTAATCAGCAGCAGTGTGGCAGACTGCAGCCCTTCCAGGGGGAGAACCAGCAGCAGGTCCTGAGATCCACGCCATGTTGGAACTTAGGACGCTGGGAAGCAAAGCAAGCACCTCCCCTCCCTGGTAATCAGTGGCAGACTGCAGCCCTTCCAGGGGGAGAACGAGCAGCAGCTCCCGAGATCCGCACCATGTTGGAACTTAGGACCCTGGGAAGCCAAGCAAGCACCTCTCCTTCCTGGTAATTGGTGGCAGTGTGGCAGAATGCGGCCCTTCCAGGGGGAGAACCAGCAGCAGCTCCTGAGATCCACAACATGTTGGAACCTAGGAAGCAGGGAAGCAAAGCAAGCACCTCCCCTCCCTGGTAAGCGGTGCTGGTCTGACAGACTGCGGCCCCTCCAGGGGGAGAACCAGCAGTAGCTCCTGAGATCCACACCATGTTGGAACTTAGGACACTGTGAAACCAAACAACCAGCCTTCCTCCCTGCTAAGCAATAGTGAACCTACTGATGCACAGCCTAGAATCAAACATCCCACTTCCGCTACCCCTCTTCTCCCCGCCCCCACCGCCCATTAGCAAATGGGAACCAGAAATCTGAGCGTCTCCTGCAAAGTTGACCATAGCAAATAAGGGGGACTTCCTTCTACCATCTCTTTGAAGGCAAATATTTTTATTACTGTTTTGCTCTTTTCTGATTAATGGTACTGCTCTATTCAATATTCTGTTTTGATAAGTTCTATATTTCATCTCAATTTGATATATGTGATGGAAAAACAACTATTATAAAGATAACAAAATATACTGTGATACCTATTACTGTTATCCTGATAACCTGCTGTGAAGTTCTGTACTAATTTCACTGTACGATCTTAGTTGGCTTTATTCTGTCTTGTTCTGTTGTATACTTTCAAAACAAAATTAAAAAAAAAAAGAAACAGACTGGCAGAGTAGATTAAGCAACAAAATTCAACAATATACAGTACACTACGAACACATTTAACTCTAAAGGAAATTCACAGACTAAAAGTCAAACGATGGAAAATAATACTCTATGCAACAGGACCCCAGAAAAAAGCAGACATAACTATTCTGTTTGCAGAAAATGTGAACTTTGAACTAACAACTATCAAAAGAGATGAAGAAGGGCACTACATACTTCATAGGGGAAAATTTCAAGAGGAAGAGTTAACAATTATAAATCTATATGCACCAAGGAGATGCATCCCAAGGGTAAACAGCTCAGGTCTGGGAGGCAGCGGCCTGCCCTACCCCCACACACACCAGTCACCATCAGGGGATGTTTCCTCCCAGTAACCAGCTCAGGTCCAGGAGGCAGTGGTGCCCCACTACACACACACATACACACACATACACACACACTTTAGCAGCCATCCGAATGCTTCCCGCTCCAGGATGCCAGCACAGGGTGGGAAAAACAGCAGCCAGCCCTGCACTAACACACCCAACAGCCACCACTGGATACTTACAGCCAGTACCCGTCAGGCGAACCAGTCATGCTTCAGAGAAATTGGAGCCAACACAGGAAGTGCCTACTAAGACCTCACTACCCACTTGTAGAAGAACCCAGGAAAATGTCAAGACAAAGAAGCAAAAGGCAGTCTCTGGACTCCAACCCAAGCAGAAAAAGTTCAGGAGATATAAACATGGGAAGAGAGTTGGAATCACTGAAGTTTCTGAAGTGATGGCAACTGAAGTAAACAAACAACTTCATGAGATTATAAAAGAAATTAGAACAGAAATATTATCTCAGGTAAAACAAGAAATAGAAAACATAATAAAAGAATTGTTAAGCATCTCTAAAGACACAGATTAAAAAAATAAAGGAGCATAGGAAAATCAGGGTAACAATGAATGAAAAATATGAGAGATTTAGAATGCATGAAACATTCAAAGAGATATCCATGAAATTAAAAACTCCATTGAAAGCTGGCAAAACCTCTTGAAAGTAACTGAAGACAGACTTTCAAAGCTTGAAGAAGATGTACAGGTTGTGATCGTGAAAGAAAAGATCTCAATAATAACAAGGAACCAGGAAATAATTCAACAGCTGCAAGATGATGCAAGGAAAAATAATTTAAGAGTAATAGGTGTCGGGGCTGGGGATTTAGCTCAGCGGCATAAGCACCTGCTTGCAAGCAGGTGGTTGATCCCCAGTACCAATGAGATTAAAAAAAAAAAAAAAGAATAATAGGTGTCAGCCAAAAAAGCAGGGGTCAACACAAATGACATTAAAAGTCTACTTACAAGG